CAGTCCCGAGGGTTGGCCTGGGAGGGCGCGCCTTGTCCCGGGGCGAACGCCCCTTGTCCTGGCTTTGCCCCTCTGCAGAGTGCCGGCACCCCAAGGGAGCAAGCCAGGCAGCTGGTCATCGACCTGGAGACTCGAGGGAAGCAGGCGTTTCCTATCTTCGTCTCCATCCTGCGGGACACCGGGCAGGGTGACCTCGCAGACCTGCTGAGCGAGGCGTGCGAGTCCCCGCCGTTGCAACCGGTAGACGTGAAGCCCATTGAACTGGACTTAGGGGGAGAAACGCGTGATAAAAGTAAGTGTTGGGGCAATGGCTGTTTTCCTAACAAACAGCAGATTGGGATGTAGCAGCTGGAAACCCTGTTTCTGAAGAAAAACAACAGGCTGGCCAGCAAAGTCTTGATTTTTATTGCCTCAGATCACGAATTGTAGGGATGGCTATGCAAAGCTATTGGGAGAAAGTCATGCTATCCCGCAGTGGAAGCTTTTAAGCTCCAGCTGTGTGCTGCTGGTGGCCAGAACTTTATTCTCCTTCTCTTTGCATGTAACCTCCGTGGTATCTTGGTGAGAATGGATTTTGCCGTGTCCTCGCTATTCCTGTCTCCTGCTCTGCTGAATGTGTTTGCAGCTTGTACAGTTGTAATGAGAAACTTAGTCTGTTGAACCCTGTGGAAAGGAGAGGGGGAAAAAAAAAACTAAGTGATGCCATATCACCTCCTTGCAAAAACGTATCTTCAGCTTGAAGCAGTTGGTTCAGGTTCTTCTGAAAATCTGGGGTTGTCACGTACGTTTACCTCTTGCACAAAATTGGGCAAGGGACAATGTGAGACCTGACTGCCCTGTGCCGTTACAGGTGTGAGCGCTTTGGAAAGTGTCCCCGTTCCGGTTCAAGACACGAGCGACAAATTTCGATTGCATCCTGCAGAAGCCAGGGGTAAGTGGTCTCCTGTCGGTCACAGGTCTTGGCTACCTCTCGGTTTCCCTTCTGTCTTTGTCCTTACGTGCCTGTGGAAGTCTCTTTACCGCTTCCTCTCTGGGAGTTTTGGGCCAGCTCTGAAATTTGCCGGGCCTAAAGGCAGCACGCGCCAGATAACAGCAGGATTGCGCCTTCCTGGCTGGTCTCGGGGAGGACCGAGGCTTTCTCCCTACAGCCCTTCCGCAGCTCTAGCTGTCCACGCTCTGCCAATGTGTCTTGGCCTGGGCAGCTGTCTCCCAAAGAGCGATTTTTTTTTCCCCTGGTGCGTAGTGCCTAGATGTCAATGCTGCCTGGCGTCCCCTCCTGAAGCGGGTAGACAGCGGTTCTGCGTCAGGTAATAATAGTGTCAAGGAAAGGCAGCGAGAGAGAGGAGAATGCCAAGATGGATGGTGGAGTGACATCAGCGCACCGTGGGTCGCGCTGCCTCTGACGGGCAGCGTCCTCGGCTGTGGCGAGCCGGTCCCCCGAGGTTCAGCCTCCAGCTGCAGGCTCTGTCGCTGTCTGATTAGAGAGACGCGTAGCCAAATGCTTCTTTCCAGCGTGTGGCAGGGAGGGAAGGGGGAATTTGTACTTGTGGCCACCATGTCACAGATGACAGCGCAGGATTGACGTTAATTCCGGGAAGAACATCTCATTAACGAGGGTGGGGAGCTAAACAATCATTTTTCTTTCATGTGTTGTAGGTTCAGCTGTTGACAGATTGAAGAGGAACTCTGATTTGGTTAGTCCGCTAGTGTTTTGAGGGGGACGGGGCGGGGCTATTTCTTTTTGTTCTTAATCTTTCATTGTATCAGAGTTTTTTCCTCTGTCACCCTTCCTCTTGAGGTCCTATTGGCAAAGGTGACAGAGGTATTTAGGAGCTAGTGCTGGGTGTTCTTCTTCATGGGGCAGAGTGTTTACTGTCAAAAAAGGCTTACTATGGCCTAAAACGCTACTCAGACCAGCAAAGTCCCACAGTGCAGAGCTCTTAGCTGCTGTGGCTGCTTGGGAGAGGTTTTTACCAGGCAGCTACAGCAGGTAAAAATGGGGTGGCTGTTTTCTTCTGTCACTCGTTCAGCTCAGCTGGTGCTGTCACAAGGGTGAAACTGGGGGCCAGGTGTATATTTGGGTCCTATGTGCCCCAGGTAATGCAGTGGGAAGCTTTGTTCGCTGATGAGTAAACAGCGCTGAGTTTATTTCTGGTCCGTTTGGCTCAAAGCGTTCTGTATTATGTAAAGAATTTCTGCCCTGCGGGTGACTACTAGGAAATAGCCTTGTGACAGCCAGTTCTTGCTTCCTGTTATCGGAACAAGTGCTCTGAGGCTGATCCTGCTTTAACTGGGTGGATCAGCTCGGAGCGGGTCAGTCATTAGCTAACTCCCCTTTAGGTTTACAGTTGCTGTAACCCAAATAACATAATATAGAGCTGAATATTTTGCTTGAACAGTTTCTAGCAAGACAAGTGGTAATTACCCAATGCAACAAATCGCGTGTTGTCTGTAAAGTGGTGTTTCGACTTGGTAATCAGTGTTGAAAAACATAAATAAGAAAAACAATAATGAACAATAATGTGCCGCACGCTTTTGTGCGTTAGGGGGCTTGGAGTGAAGCAAGTATCGTAATGCAGATGAGTATTTATAGAATCGCCTTCCAGCAGTGCGCAGCTCGTTTGTGTCTGATGTTGAACGAATAGTCTGGCTGTATGCGTTAGGCTCAAGGCCCTGACGGTGCAAGTGTTTGGAAAGTCCTCTCAAAGTTACTGCGCTCTAGTTGATGGAGACTAAATCTGAGTCTTCATGAGCCTTACCTACCTATTCTCTTGACTCCTTGGTAATGGGCCCCACCGCGGGCTCCCATGGTGAGGTTTGCTGAAAATGCCTGTAAAACACCCCCAAATCTGAACCTGCCTTTGGAGATGCTGTACATAAAGAAGCAGCCAGTTCTCTGCAAAGATTGTCCCTGATTTGGCAGATTTTGTGTTCCCCAGTTGCTTATAATAATGTATATGTGGAGAACAGATCCTTTTATCCATCCCTAGGCTTGGAGAAGTGAAAAAGCTGTGAAATGAGCTACTGTAAAGGCTTTGGTTCAATTTTGTGTCGCATTCCTCTGGATCAGGTAGGGAATGCTCTGAATAAGAGGATGTTTAATTGAGCCTCTGCTAAAAGTTCTCCTGTGGGCTTATATGTGCCAGGTTTATGATCTGAAAGCGGATCCTTGCGGATACTGCCTGATCCTCAACAACGTCAACTTCAGTAGAGATTCCGATCTGTCGACTCGAGCTGGCTCAAACATAGACTGTGAGAAACTGGAGAAGCGTTTCAAGTCATTGCACTTCAATGTCCTGACTCGGAAGGATCTCAAAGCTCAGGTGAGGCTGGCAGCCTCTAGCTTGCCCAGAGCGTGAGAAGAGCATCTGAAAGCAATGAGAACGTGTTACAGAGCGTACCTCCGCGTTAACAGCGCACTGGAAACCCCAACCTGCGGTGCACAAAGAAATAATCCAGCTGTCACGTCCTATTCTCTTTCGTGCTGCAGTTACAGAAGGGAAAAGAACTTTACAAGTTTTCACCCTTCTGGTTGAGTTTCGATTCCTGAATGTGATTTATGGGGAAATCTGCCAGGCTGTATTTATTTGATAGCTCTGACGCAGCCTCTGTTTCATGTGTAGCCAAGGGTTTGATTCGTCTGGCTGTACGTGACTCATCTGTTACTTGAATTTAAGCAGGGCAGTTAGTCACCTGGAACAGCCACTGAAACTGAAACAAAGTTATTTGCCCCCACCCCCTTAATCAGAAACAGTACATTTCAACTGATAAATCAAGTATAAATACGTTACGCGCATGTTGCTCTGTTGTGAAGGATGCTGTGATGAAGGAAATCTGTTTTGGTAACGCAACCAAAGCTAAATGAGAGCAGAGCTGCAGAAGTACTTACTGTCTGATGGTGAGTTTTGCTGCCTGTAATTAGGGTGCATCTTATCCCACTGCTGCTGGACAGGTAGCAGCATAAACAACCTGTTGCCTGTCCTGACTATTGATTTGAATAGCTTTGTTGGCTAAAAAGGTGGGGCAAGCGAGACAGGTGCAAACAGACAGGCGTGAAGAGCCCTTTTCATCTCCAGAACCAGTTTTCTTATGTCAGGCTCGAGCAGCGTGCAGAGCTAGCAAGTACTCACGCAAGCATGGTATTTGCTGATGTCCAGGGAGATCAGCTGGATCCCTCTGAGCAGCGCAGCCATGATAGAGGGCGAGTGATAAGGGCAGTGCCTGGAAGTAGTCTATGGCTGATGTACCGTTTGAAAACTCCTAACGGGATGTTTTGCATGTAGGAAATCGTTTGGGAGCTGCAAAAGCTGGCCAGGCTGGACCACAGCGCCTTGGACTGCTGCCTTGTGGTGATCCTTTCCCATGGTTGTCAGGTGGGCTTGTCGCAGCTCTCCCTCCTCTGTCGCTGTGCTCTGCAGGATATGGTGTGCTTGGAGAGACTGCCCGGGTGGGCAGGAGTTATTTGTCAGGTGCTTCAATTGCATGCTGCGGTGAAGGAGAAAGCCTCTGCCGGCAGCAGTGCTGCGTCAGTGGGCATCCTGGCACGAAGGCACGGCGTGCCGTAGCGGCACCGGAGAGCAAGATGGGAGGCACGTGCTCTGTCCTGACTGAGGGGGTGGCTTTTTTTGCTGCTGCAGTGAGATATTTTCTTATCTGGGTGAAAGGAAACACATGCTCTTCCACTGTAGTCTGGTCCAGTATTGCCTTTCTGAGGATCTCGTGCCCTATGGACAAACATTGTACGTTTTCAGAGTTGGGCTATATTATTTGGAACCGAATGATGACCAAAACAGCAAATAGAGCTAGCGCTAACCTTCATAGCATAGTCATTGAGTCCTTCCTCTTTCTCCAACTCTGACTTTCCTGATTTGTGACATGAAGAAGTCATCAGTAGCAGTCAAGAATATTTATCACAAGTTGGAGGCCTTGTAGTACAAGAGAGGAGGGCGTTTTTTTAGGAGGAGGTGGAATAGGAGTTGGATAACGAGGGAACTTGGATTTCTGGGATGTAATGTATTTTAAATGTCTCCTGTGCATCCCTTTGCCTTGATTTGATCCCTGAATCCTCGCAAATATCGGGAGTTGAGATTTTTCTCTGGTAACTATGCTAAAAGGAGACAGAGGAAAGAGCACTCGATCAGAAACTGGTTCCCTCAGAACTCACCTGTCCTGTTGCATTAATAGGTATTGGATTTTGCTCTTGCAGACAAGCCATATTCAGTTTCCTGGAGGGATTTATGGAACAGATGGAAAAGCCATTCCAGTTGAAAAGATTGTGAACTATTTCAATGGGTCCCATTGCCCGAGTCTGAGAGGAAAACCCAAACTCTTCTTCATCCAGGCCTGTGGTGGAGGTGAATCTTTGTTTTAGCTCTGGTAGTGCTTAAGCTGTCAGTGTAAGCAACGGTGTAGCCACGAAGGTCCGAGCAGGTTTTTGAGATTTGGTTAGGCTTTGGCATGTTCTTCTTCTGCTGTTCTTTGTTTTTTTCTCTCCAGCTGTCTTCTCTTATTCTTGGCCACATATTGTTACTGCTAACACGATTTCAGTCTAAACACTGACGCATAAGCGTCTGATGGGAGGATATTACTGATTGTCGTGTGTTGGAACAATTTGATTGCATTGTAGGGGATGTGGGACAGGAGGCAGGGAGCAGTTGCAGCAGATGTCCAGACTGACCACGCTGATTGTCTGTTCCAGGTATTTAGCCATGAGGTTAGTTATGAAGAACGGACTGAGGGCATTCATGTGAATGCTGGCTTGCTTGATGGCTCTGACTCAACCAGCGCAGCCAAAGAGCAGAAAAGCTTTGTTTCATTAGAGGGATTTTCTTTTCTTTCCTTTTCTTTCTTTGTGTGTGTGGTTTTGTTTTGTTTTTTTTTTTGAATGAAGGATTTATGACTGTTGAATATTTGGGTAAGATGAATTTGTGGGATTTTCCTTTTGCCACTTTTTGCAGAGCAAAAAGATCAAGGATTTGAAGTGGAATCCGATTCACCTGGAGACGAAGCTCATAGACTTTCCATGGAATCAGACGCAACTCCTTTTCAGGCTCCGTCAGGCGCTTTAGACGAGCCGGATGCCATAGCCAGTTTGCCCACACCCAGTGACATCTTGGTATCCTATTCAACTTTTCCAGGTGAGATATGCTGTGCAAATCACTTGCCTGGTAAAGAGTAATTTGTGCCATAAGCAGTGGCGCTAGACTTGCGCTTGGGCTATCTTCCTCGTTCTGCCCCTAGTGTGTTGGGTAATGTAAGAACTACCTTGCTGTACCTCAGTTTTTCCCACCTTGCCCGTGAAATGTGAGTTAAGATGTCTTCTGCTTGTAAATGATGTGCAGAGCTGTAGGAGACAGCTGCAGCTGAACAACTGTATTGTGATTTTATGTGTTGCTATTAGGCATTGCTAGTCATACTACAAGGGGAGTGGTGTTCTGCACGCTCGCTGTGCTTTTGGTAGCCCTATGTTAACAGTGAGTCCCTTCTTGTGTTTTTAATGGAGGTTTTTAATGTTATTCTAGAGATAAAAGCAATTGAGGCTTAAAGAGCCTTTGACTTATTCTAGATGACTTGGTAATTGAGTAGAAAAGGCCGTGCTCTGCAGGAAAAGTTATGGGACTGTCTCTGTTGGAGATTGCACTGGAGGGAGTTTCACTAATTCAGAAAACTGACTTCAGGAATAATTTTCTCGGTCTTTCTCCAAAGGTTTTGTCTCTTGGAGGGACAGACTGAGTGGCTCATGGTATGTGGAAACGCTGGACAGCGTACTGGACCAGTACGCCCATTCTGAAGACCTGCTAAACATGTTACTGCGGGTAAATATCTTTTTTCCTTTTTATTTATTTATTTTTGTTTTAGAGACAAATGTGATGAAGGAAGTATTCTGAGCTGCATTCGGTCGAGGTGTTCAGGCCTACATTTAAAAAGGGTAATGACTTTGAGCGTTCAGTTTGCAGATGCTCGTTGGGTTAAGAAATTGTCTGCCAAAAATCACTTAGAGATTTCTCTGATGAGAATTAGTCCTGGAAATAGGCACTTTAATCTTGCCCTAAGAAATTGCTATAAAGTTACCCAAGACCAAGGTGTAGGTTGTCTGTCCTATGCTCTACCTACCAAGCTGTCAGAGCGCAGGGCTGCAGACACCGCGGTAAGCATGCTACTGCACGTCCAGGCAGATAGCGCTGCCAGGGAAGACCTGCTGGGTCCCTAAAATGTAGAGATCTCCACAAATGTTTTTCTGTTTGGGTTTTGCATCTTCTGCTGCTACTGTGACACCACGGTAAGTCTCGAGGAGCGTCTTGCAATTGGGGTGATAGGACCAATGTTTGTGTTCACGTTTGCTGGTGAGCGAGGCAAGCGGCGCGTAGGGAACGCTTCCTCAACGAGTTAGTAAATTGTTTGATTAGCATGCTCTGTTAAGTAGGGAAGATTGTTAAACTTGGAGAATGTAGAGAATTATCCTTCAGAGCTGCGGATGTGTTGGTCTGTAAGGACACAGCACCCAAGAATGGGCTGTGATCAAACATCGCACTCCTGCTGTCTCTGTGGCGTTGGACAGTGCTCCTGGGCCTGACAGAGTTTAAGTACTGAGCTGAAAATGTTTAGCCTGTTTCCCCTTGCAGAACTAGGCCTAGCTACTTTTAGTTTAACAGACTTTTACCCAAAGGTAGGAAGAAACTCTTAGGTGAAGGTGGAGATAGAGGAGTCCCTCCTCCCCCTAGTTTTCCCACTGTAACTGTTCTACTTGGGCATCTGGTGGCAAAGCAGCCACCGATTCAAAAGAGGTAGAGTCTGACTCACTCTCGTTAAATGGCTTGTTTGAAAAGGGAATGGTTGGAAATTGTTCAGTGCAAATGAAGGAATCTTGGGGAAATGACAGGCGCTCCTGGAAGAAAATGGGTAGAAGGGGGAATTTGCATGTAGTGGGACCCAGAGGAAACGATCCCTCCTGAGCAGAGGAGAGGCTGTTGTGGCTCATGCAGAGAAGCGTCCGCTGGAGGCAGCAGTAGCTGGTACAGGCAGGGTTGCTTTAAAGGCCGTTTCCCCTGATGAGCGTTTGATAGGGAGCAGGGTAGAAGTAGGCTTGTCGTGCATACCTTCTTGTCAACCTGTAGCACATCCTCTGTGGAGGAGAAGTGCAAGAGGACTCTTGCCAGATCTGATCTGCAGCTGTCTCTTGTCCTGTAAGTCCCCCCCCTTTCTCAAGTCTCCTTTGTTCTTG